AAAAAGAAAGGTATTGTGAATGATAAGCTGCAACATTAGTGCAACAAAATGAATGATATGATATGAATATGTTAACGGATTTCTGTGAGGGGGCGGGTCTAGGGGCGTGGCTTTCATATATGGCTATGGAGGAGGGGCGTTAGAATGTGGGTCTATAGAATAATAAAAGAGAAAGAAAGAGAGAGATAGAGAGGGGGAGAGGAAGAGAGAGAGAGATAAATAGATAGAGAGAGAAAGAGCGAAGGGAGAGCGAGAGAGAGAGAGAGAGAGAGAGAGAGAGAGAGAGAGAGAGAGAGAGAGAGACAGAGAGAGACAGAGAGAGAGAAAAATAGATAGAGGGAGAAAGAAAGAAGGGAGAGAGAGAGAGAGAGAGAGAGAAAGAGACAGACAGACAAACAGACGTACAGGCAGACGGAGAGACAGAGAGAGACAGAGAGAACGAGAGACAGACAGACAAACAGACGTACAGACAGACGGAGAGACAGAGAGAGACAGAGAGAGACAGAGAGAACGAGAGACAGACAGACAGAACGAGAGAGAGGCATAGACAGACAGGAAATGACACTGGCATAGCATGAGGAATATGGTTAACGTTAGGCGCGCCCCTCTCTGTGTTACTGGATACTTTTAGAAAAGAGCTTAACAATAAAGACCACAATAACACCACAATAAAAATAATAAAACTAACAAGATAAGACAGTTCTAAGATAATGATAATCAAAGTAAGATACTGCCTTTCGCGAAAAAAAATAACCCTTGCAATACAAAAAGATCATATCATATACCAATTCAAGAAAACGCAGAAGACGGAGACGAAGCGACGATACCCAGAATTGATACCCAGAGTTAAGAGAAGAAGAACCAGGTTCGGGGTTGACAGCGTTCGAGGGGAGGTGAAGGGGGGGGACGAGGGGGGGGAGGCTTCCCTTTAACCTACTTTACGGCGGCGTACGGGAGGGGGGGAGGGCGTCGAGGAGGAGGGAGGGGGAGGGGAGGGAAGGAGAGAGAGAGGGGGAGGAGAAGGTTTGGGGAAGAGGTGAGAGACACGAGGGGATGTATTGGTAAGAGATAGATCGGTATTTAGATGAATAACTAGCATGCTAACAAGTTATATCTATCTATCTATATACATATACATTTACAGAAAGAGAGAGAGAGAGAGAGAGAGAGAGAGAGATAGGTAGCGAGAGAAAGAGAGAGAGAGAGAGAGAGAGAGAGAGAGAGAGAGAGAGAGAGAGAGAGAGCAAAAGAGCGAGAAAAAGAAAGATAGATAGAGAGAGAGAATACAAGAGAAAGACCGCGAGCGAGAGAGCAAGAGAGAGAGAGAGAGAGCAAGAATAAGTAATGAGGGAGAGCGGGGGGGGGGGGGGGTGATACAAGTGCACCGTGAGATGAACGACGGGAAGGGGCGGAGGGTGGGGGGGGGGTGGAAGGGAGGGAGGAGAGAGAGGGAGAGGAGGAAGAAACGAAGGGGGAGGGGGAGAGATGGGGCTTAAAAAGAGTTACGAAGAGAGAGCCAGAGAGCGAATGAAAGAGGGGAGAGAGGGAAAGCCGGTTGATGGAATGCGGAGTTAGTCACAGCGAAGAAAGAGGTAGAGAAATGTTATGTTAATCCGTGTATAAATTAGACTAAGTGATATAGAATTCGCTAAACGTGTCTTTGAGAAAAGGCGAAAGATTTATAGCATTAGAAATGGCACAGTTAAACTTTCAACGTCTCCGTTATAGAAAATCAATGAAAAAAACAAACCTTTAGACTCACGTATGGTACAACTCTTTAAGAAAATACTTATAAGAAAATAACTTATAAAGAAGCGAAGTTATGAGACTTTTGTACAGAATTACAGATTAAGGAATAAAGTATTTTGATACATTTCTCTCTCATCTTGTTACGTTTATTCTCCACACGAGAGGAAAAAGAGACAAAGGGATAAGTCTGAAGAAATAAGAGACGAGGAGATAAATATGAAGAAAAAGAGACAAAGAAATAAATGCTACAGCTACAAAGAATTTTATTTTATCGAAGTGGAAATTCTAACGAGGAATATCTTGAAAAAAATTAAAGAGTAAAATATAAAGTTGGATAGAGATGAGAAGAGGGTAAGAAAGAGTGGATAGTGGATATTACGAAAGGATGAACAGATGAAGTGAAGACATGAAACGAGTAAAGATGGCAAGGTAGTTCTTGTTGCAGTTGCAATGAGGAACTGGTGCACATAATCGTGTAAACTGCATCGAATCTGTGATATTTTTATTGCAATCGAAAATTTAAGGAAAAGTCAATCACAATTTCTCGTGTGGGTTTTATTTAGAGGTAAAATGTCATTCTTTTATTTTCAGTGTGTAATAGTGTTTTCTAGTTTGGAATTTTTAAAGAGATGTTTTATTTAATTCATATGCTGGATCTTTAGTTCTTTCGTGTAACTTCTTATGAATTATTAACTTACTCTTGTATTCTTCCTGAGAAGCTGAGAAGGTTGGTGGAATAGATACTAATATATAGAAATAACTTAACAATATTTATTGCCTAAAAGTAGAATACAAAAATAAATAAATAAATAACACAGTCCATTTACAAAAATAATACATACACGGGTGCATGGTCTAGCGTCAACTGTACAAAGCAAGTCGTAAAACTTTACAAATAACAACACAAACTTTGGTCAGTCGTGGGTTGTGATGTAGGAACATTTTTCAATCAATGTAGTCGGTCCTGTATTTTTTTGTCTCGTCGATAGGGATTTTCTTTGTCACTGAAGCCGTATGTGACAAAGAGAATTGTTTGTCTGCAGCGGAAAGCGTCTGTCAGTTTGTCTATGAATGAGTCAGGTCCTTAGAATATGCTACTCCGCTGGGTCTGTGAACATTGATGAAGTTCCTACGGGTCTTGGTTACGAAGTGTCAGGTGTCTGGAGGTCTAACGTCCACTATACAGAGAGCTACAGAAATACTGAGATTTCTAGTACGAAAACTAGCTGACTAACGTACCCTGATTGGCATCACAGTTAATCGTGACTATAAGGAATCTGGCACATGCGTACTGTAAAGCTATGGTGATTGACTCATTTGAAGTTCGGCAGAGAGGGGGATGAAGTTGTATCGTTAGGGTTTGGTGGGGGGTGGGGGGGGAAGTTGTCAAATGTAATCGCCGGGAAGTGCGGTTGGGGGTCAGAAGGTGAGCGTTGGTGTTCAGAGTCGGGGTCAATCATTCTATACGTTGAGCTGTTTGTCTCACGCAGTTTGTGCTGTCCTTCCGGTGTTCTATCGTCTGTCTAATGTCTGTCCGAAAAACTTAAACAAACATTAGTGTGTTACAACAAATGGGAAATAAATATATATAATATATCTATGCAATGCTGGAGGAGTGTCGAGCCAGCGACACAGCGCCTCCAGGCGGATGCCCCGTCGGGGAGTGGCTGAAGGGCCTGGGGTGGCGGGACACGGACTTGCAGGCACTTGACAAGATTCTCTTTTGTTTTCGGCAATATTTCGGCAGCCTCGGCCATCGCGAGGGACGCCTTCGGCCGCGGGAGATGCCGAGCCTCCCCGAGTCCACCCGGAGCTGCATCTTAGAAGTCGTAGTTCTCGATGGCCTCGTGGACGCGGGCAGCCAGCCGCTGGACGATGGGCAGGTTCATGAACGAGGGAGTCTCGGCGGACCTCTTGTAGTGGCCACCGCCGGCGCCGCCACCGGTGGAGGTGTAGCTGCTGCCGCTGACGCCGACGTCGTAGCCAGAAGTCTCGTAGCCGGGGTAGTAGCCGGTGGCGTAGCCGTAGTCGTAGTCGCTTCCAAAGGCGTTTTCAACGGAAGGCTTGAGGGTTGCTGCGTGGGAATAAGAGAATCAACACTGAGGAACATGAAGAATAAAAAAAGAAACATTTGCAACTATGCCACACCTTAGCCAAACCTCGATAGCCGAGGGAAGCGTCATCACGAAGATCACTACTTAGAAGGCATCGAAGTCTTTGCGTCGAGGCGCCTCATACTCACCGATCAGGAGGACGAGGGCGACGAGGATCACGATCTGAATGGCGATTTCAAAGAGGCTGCCGAGGGGCGCAAGAAGGCTGATTTTCTTGGCCAACTTGAGGACTGCGGAAGACAAACAGACTCACTGTTAACACTTACTATTTCTAAGACTAAAATATACTTCATGCATCATCTATGACACAGGATTTTCGCCACTGAACATAAACCTCACATAGAGATATAACACATTAGAGATAGCTAAGTACAGAAGAAGAAAGAGCAATAATTAAAGACACAGAGGCAGAGAGTTGTGTCCTTACCATCAGCTCTGCCCTCCTCCTGCTCCTCAGCGACGGCCATGCCCAGCACGAGGGCCAACAGCAATAAAGTTCGCTTCATGATTCTGAAAAAGAGAGAGAAAAACAAATCAAAGTAAGCGAATGATCTAATCTATTTACCTCTCCGGACAAATTCAAAATATTTGCAACAAGAGACAATATTCAAACACCTTATATCAACAAGAGTCTCGACCACCAAGACAACAATCTCAAGTCCCGTGTTTCCTTCAGGAATAGAAGTCACTAAACCACCGACTCTATACTATAAGTCCCCGAACCACACGAGTATACTCACGTAAGTGTGTGTATACAAGGAGGTCCGCGCCGCACTGTAGCCAGACACCGAATGGTTGACGCTAGCAGAGTTGAACGTATTCATACTGGGGTTTATATAGTCTCTCTCGCTGGACTCGCGCGCTCATGACCTGTAAACCTACATGGACCGCCGACCTGCTGCTGAACACACCCGGACGCGTTTACACACATTATCATTTGCAGCCATGTGGATTTATTTTATTTCCCTTCTCGTTGAATTTGAAGAGGATTTGGTGATAGAGTAAGTATTGGTGGAGATGTTACGTCTTTAATCGCGGTTGAACAGGGCGCCATGCCTGTACGAATCAAAAAGAAATTGGTTTACTTGAAAGTGAAAACGGGCGAGCGATCATATCCTGTACCATTATTCTCAGACT